CTTCTCCTGCTGCCTGCCCCTGCTGCCCACACATGAGCCAGACCAGCTCTCTCAGGAAGAGCACAGCTGGAGACCTGACTCACGGCAGGTGGGGGTGCGTTTCACAATATACCAACTAGGGTGCTGTGGGCACTGATGGTCCCCGAATGGCACAGGGGGTGAATACTTCAGCCCGAGTTAATACATGGTTTTCTTCGCCTTCCCACCTCCTGCAGTGAAAGCCCAGACTTCTTAACATGGCCTCTAGTCTGGCATGCTCTGGCTTTTCGCTCTCTTCTCTCCTCTCCTGCTCCTTCCCACCTTTCCCTCTGCTGTTGCCACAGCAGGAAGGCATTCCTGCTGGTGTTGGCATGTCTTGAGTTCATCCCCAGCCTGGGGCTTCCCCTTGGTTCTCTCCCTCACTTCACTTAGGGTTTCACTCAGATAACTTCTCAAGGGGCCCGCTCCCCCAGGGCCTTCTCTCTGCTGCTCCTGCTTACTTGTTTCTTCACGGCATTGGATTTACCTGAAACTACATCCATATCAATGTATTATGGCTTCTTTTTCCACACTAGAATGGAAGCTCCACGAGACAGGGACATCGTTTGTCCTCACCCATGCATGGTACCATTGTATCGCTATGTCCCTTTAAAGTGCCTGCCATGAAGCAGGTGCTCAGAAAAGGTTCGCTGAATGAATGTACATTAAAACCAACATGAAATCCTACCTTCATCTCTCTTCTGTGCCTGACGTTTAAGAAATATGGAACTGGAAATATGGCAGGATGGAGACTTCAAGAGAAAATATTTGGTAATGGACTGACAGTTGTCAAAACTATGACCTCCCCCCAACCGCCGCCATTTTTCATCTGTAGTCTAGATCTACGTGTCTTTCTTCATCTCCAAAGTAAGCACCTTTTGTCAGGATTAGAGTGTTGTTGGCAGAATTATCTCCCTATTATTTTCAAGAGACTAATATCTTATTTCAGTATTTGGGCTCACCTCTTAGTTGCTTGTATACAGCCACTGGATGGTATCGTTTAACAGCATCAGTCTTACGGGATCTAGAAATACCACAGCTAAGCTTGGCTTCCATGCACCCTTGGGCCCCACCACTACTAGTAATGGCAACACCACTGGGGCTGTTACTGCTCGGTCTGCTGATTCCGTCGGGCCTCACAAGCCAAGGCACCTTCCGGCCACGTGCAGAGCATAGTCTGATTTACTGTCTTGGGAAGTGACTGGGGATGATAGAAGCTTGGTGGGTGGCACAGCTGTGGCTATTAACACGAGTGCCTTTCCCTGTGCAAGGCTCATTACCAACCATCTGCTTTGCACAGTGATCTGATTTGTCAGAAGTGGAACACAAAGGCCTCCTGGCTAGTTACGTGGGAAACTGTGCATACAGACCTCTGGGTGTTTCTGGGGGAGGCCTGGGCAGAGGAGGAAGGGTCTCCAGCTTCGCCAGCTCCTGTCTGTTCCACCTTGTAGACAAACAGTGTGTTTGACACCCGTGGGCACCCACCCTTTGAGAAATAACATGTATCTCTGCACGCAGAGAGGGTAGCTTTCCTAACTGGAATTTGTTTGCTTGTTGACTTAGGGTACACTTTGATGTTAGACAGCCCCTTGCTCCCCACTGTGTGATTAAAACAACTGGTGGCCTTTCTTAGAAGGATCTCATTCATTCATTCATTTACTGGACATACAGCTGATCCTTGAACAATGTGGGGGTTAGGATGGCCAACCCCTGAGCAGTCAAAAATCCACGGAAAACTTTCAACTCACCAAAAACTTAACTACTAGTTGACTGGAAGATTTACCAATAACATAAACAGTTGATTAACACATATTTTGTATGCTATATGCATTATATACTGTGTTCTTATAATAAAGTAAGCTAGAGAAAAGAAAACATTATTAAGAAAATCCTAAGGAAGAAAAAACACATTTAGAGTACTGTACTATATTTATTTTAAAAAATCTGCATATAAGTGGACCCACACAGTTCAAACCTGCATTGTTCAAGGGTCAACTGCACTTTCGCTGAGTGCCCACTATGTCCTATGGGAGAACTGAAGACACCTTGGATTGTAGGATCTCTTTTTTACCAGCAAATGAATGGCCTACCTTGATGCTAAGACCCAAGGCAAAGTTTTGTCCTTGGCTTTGATTGTAGAGGTTACCCACTTTGGGCACTGCTCTGTGACAATCTCAGGATAGACAATGGTGAAAAACTAGAGTCCAGTCTCATTTGTACTAACAGAGGCCAAGAAATCATTGGGGTGCCTGAACCCCAAAAGTCATTTGCAAATTTCTCTTAGTTCCTGGATTGAATCACCTATATTCGACTCTGTTTGCACTATATACAAACAGCAACTTGGTATTTCCCACACCAATATCTCCTCTACTACCAAGCCTTCATAGGGACAGCTCACAAGAACGGAGACTAGATGGCTTCCTCTTTAGCCCTGATGAAGATGGGTGGCCAGCAAACAGTGTGGTGTGAGGGTTGAGCTCTATGAAGGTAGAAGTTTGCTCCCCACTACCCTCAGTTTTACCAGGTGGTTGTCTCAGAACCTTCACCACATGTCCTTACAGAGGCAAGCGTGTCCACCACAGATGCAGGGCACAGAGGTTCTAGTCCAACCCCTCCAAATTACAAGTTACAAAGCATGATGCCTTAGGCTACTGTTGGCATCACGGTCATTATTGGCCATATGGGGTTGGGCAGGCCACTTAACTTTTCTAAGGCTCCATTTCCTTGTTCAGAAAATAAGGAAGAATTTGCAAAGTGGTCTAGAAATGTAGGGCAGAAGTTAAGCAATGGGACATCAGTTTATCTACCCTTCTTCACTCTTTAGGCAAATAATAATTGGAGATTGAATCAAAGTCCTGCCCCAATACGTGAATTCAGGGTGGACTGCATGACCTGCTGTGATGGGCGGCACTCTCTGAGGCAGGGCTGGGGCCTCAGTTTCCTAATTTGACATAATGTGCTAAGTGAGCCTAATGTAAGTTAATTAATGATGCTATTGGAGGGTGGAATCACCTAGGCAGAGCTTCAAACAGCATCAAAGAGGTGGGCAGGCAGGTGTCCTCTGGGATAATTGAGCAAACCGGGGCCTGAAGGAAAGCTGCAGGCAGGCGTGCAGGCAGGACACTGAGCCGGCCCGGGGAGGGAAGGTTACGGGACAGGTTGAGCCACCGAAGCACCAGGCTGGCTTCCCACATGCATCCTGTTTATAGCTCCTGTGTTTGAATTTCAGATCTGCTTGAGTCTTTGCAGCTGAGTTCCTGGGCATTTCCTTGAGAATGAATTTCATTTTTTAGAGAACACAAAACTCACTCTCCCAGAAATGGAAAGGAGACTCGGGTGACCTGGCTTCTATCTGTGGTCTTCTGGGACCTAAGGAACTTTGATGAGAAGATGCTCCCCAGTGAAAAGAGTCAATCCGGTTTGTACTGTGTGAAATAGGGGGTAAGACCAGGTCTGTCCTCACTTCCCCAAGCAAACACGGGGCTGCCTGTGGCAGGTGCTATGCTGGTACGGGGACACGCTGATGCTTAAGGAAGAAGGGTGAGCCCCTGACACTTCTGAGCTTTGCAAATATGTGTCTTCAACAAAATGAAAATCCTGTTTACTGTTAGAAATCAGATAGTGGCCAGAGAGTGAAAAGCAAACATTTCAGGGAAATTTTATTTACTTTTTCCTCCCAAAGCCATGTGCTTCCAGGATTACTCTTTTGCTGTGCCGTCACAAATTAATATTCCCATGTACAGCCTGGCTCACTGAAGGATGGGAAGAAATCACAGCAGAGGCCTGGCTGACCCAGCCCAGAGCAGGGCCCCCAGGCTTCTCTGCTGGGGAAAGGGACATGTGGGCAATTGCCAGGACAAATGAGAACGTCCCAACTTGGATGAGTAACTCTCTTTTTGGTGGACTTTGTCAAAAAGTAACTTTAAATGGCTATACCTTCGAAGTCTCAGAACATCGAGTCAGGCAAGAAATACTCTCTATATTAGCTATTTAAATTGATCCCTTTCTCCTTAGTCCATTATGGCTTTTTACCTTGTTAATATTTTGAATTAGCTGCCATTTCATTCCTAGAGAGGGTCTCAGACATGCAACCTCAGAGCTATAGAGCAGTGGCTAGCTGGACAGCAGAGAAGGCGGGCTCGGCCTCTGCCTTCTGTGCTCTCCAGCCTTCTGGTACCCTGCGTCCCACCAACTCTTGAATGTCCCTACTGACGGGCTTCTGCTCTGCTACCCTGTCACTTATTGTTTTAACTGTTCCTCTTGGACCCCCATCGGCCGCCCTCCCGCTCAGCCGTCTCCCTTTGCTCTGCCCCAAGCCCTCACGCCCCCGAAGCGCAGGAGCAGTTACTAGAGGATGCCGGGGAATCAGAGCTGGCTCTTGCGCGGGAACCCAAACTACCTCGCTATGTGTCAGAGCACTGAGAAGAGCCTCTTGGCTGGAAGTAAATGCCTCAATCATCAGAAATACATACTCCCCGCCCCGTGCACCCCAAAACAGAGACATCTGAGGCATCGGGTCTCAGACGTGATTCAAAATTGCACTGGGAAGGTCTCTTAGAGCACCGCAGGTAACTCAGGGGAGACGCAGATACACAGCTAAATCCCAGCTGCTGCCTGTGTTCCCCGTGAGCCAGGCTCAGGGGCAAACCTCAGAAACATACTTTTCATGCTCTCGGGAGACACCCGTGGTCTTGGTAGCCAAAATCTTAAAGTCAGCCAAACACACACAGAATTTGGCTCACTGACCAAATGTGCAACCAGGAGCAAAGCGGGGTTTCTAATGTTTTCCTGAAAACAAAGGAACAATCTCAGGTCTTAGAACTGGTAGTGCAGACACACGGTAATTGGTAAAGCTTGTTCAAACGCAACCCAAAAATGACACGCATTTCAAAAATGCACTCAGGCCGTTTCTCAGCCCATGACACCTCAGTCTCAAACAGCCAAAGAGTTTAGAAAACCCAAAGAGAAGGACCAAGGCTTACCTGGACCTGCTGGCAGGTCAGTTTCTAGTCCCAGCAGAAGTCGGTCTGTGGAGAAAGGCAGGCACGGTCCCGTGTGGGGCCACCAGGTTTCACAGGTGGCCGTCTAGCAGTGCTCTGAGAAGCAGGTGGCCAGCGTCGCTGGAGGCCCGCAGAGCTGCCTGGGGCGAGGCACCTCTCTGCGGCCAGCCCCACTTTCCTTCTATTCCAAAGGGCTGTCTGGGAACTCTTCCTTGACTGCTCTGTCCTGTCTGCGAGTGTGTGAACTCAGTCCTTGCAGAGGGGCTTTCCCTCACTGCAGACTCACCTGCACCATCTAGAGGCCTCTCCCTGCACTGAGATGCTGGCGCCTCGCTCTGCAGGTTAGCCCCCTCTGCAGCCAGCCCGACACACACACCTGGCTCTTCACTTCCTGCCCTGAAAAACACACCAGTTGGAATTTGTAAAATCATCAATTTCTTTTTTTTAGAAAGGGAGCTTTGCTTCCATCAGAACAACCAAAGCCTTTGGGGACTGGAGTACCAAAAAAACTAAATTAGCATTAAAATTCCATTAATCAAGACTTGTTCACCCAAGGACCCCCTACTGAGATGGCCACAGGCATGGGTGCTACTGCATCATTCTGAGACATGTTCATATGTCTGTGCACATTCCTGTCCTCCTCCCCCTCTCCCCCCACACCTATAGTAGGCTTTGAGTCCCCAGATCTGTTTCCTCTACTCTCCCAACACCCCACCACCATATATCCCACAAAACTCCAGGCAGCCACATATACCCCACAAAGCCCTAGTCACATATACCCCATTAAACTCCAGACAGCCATATATAAGCCATTAAACTCCAGATAGCCATGTATACCCCATTAAACTCCAGATAGCTACATATACCTCATTAAACTCCAAACAGCCATAAATACCCCATTAAATGCCAGAGAGCCATATATACCCCATGTAACTCCATATATCTCTCCTAGATATAAGTATAAAAGAGGACTTCAACCACCTCCATTTTGGCCTTAGTCTGTATTTTCTAATTGATTAGTTCTTTCTTTTTTTTTTAAAGATTTTATTTATTTATTTGAGAGAGAGAGAATGAGAGATAGAGAGCACGAGAGGGAAGAGGGTCAGAGGGAGAAGCAGACTCCCCGCTGAGCAGGGAGCCCGATGTGGGACTGGATCCCGGGACTCCAGGATCATGACCTGAGCCGAAGGCAGTCACCCAACCAACTGAGCCACCCAGGTGCCCTTAAGTTCTTCTTTCCAGCTTATCTCTTAACTCAGGCAAAAGATCCTGTGAGCAAAGCCCCCCCGGCCAAGCCCCTGGCCGACGGGAACTGAAACTCCCCCCTCAAGCAATAAGGACTGCCCTGAGCCAGCAAGATCCTCATGACTGACCCCACGACAGTGATCGAACTGGCCTTTACTTCCCACCTGCATGTACCCACCAACTTTGTCCCACATTTTCCTTATATACACCTGGACGTATTTTTAGCACTTTGGAGACAGTCTTTAAGACATTAGTCAGCTGTCTTCCTGGTGTTGGCCTCACTGAAATAAATTCCTTTCTTGTTTCACCACCATTCCTCTCTCTGCCTTTGGATTTTGTCAGCAGTGAGTGGCCGAGCCTGGTCTGTTTGGGACCCCCCCCCCCCCACTAGGTGCTCTTCCATCCCTCTGTCCTGGTTATAGTAGATAATCAGGAAGACACCTGAAACACAAACATTTTGAAAGGACATCGCTTTCAGTGTTTGTCCATTATTTCTCACAAGTTAAATGATTAGGAACCCCGCCCTTCCCCCAAGCCCACCAACATGCAGGAGAACAGAGCAGCAACTTGGGGCTGGATTTCTATGTTCTCCCTTTCCATCTTGTCTTCTCTGTCCTGGATACATGCAAATTAATTCGCAAATGACAAAGTAAAAAGCTTAAGAGGGACACAGAGACTGAAACGATTGGAACTGGGGCAGGGAGGTTGAGCGGAACCATATTTACTCGATTTACTTAACTAATGTCAATGGTTAATCCAGATAATGTAGGTTCCCAAGTAAGAATTTTAACCTCAACGTTCAGGTTCAGTCGTTTATATGCCCACACGGAGCTCAAGCTGAGAGTTTGTGATAAATTGAAATCACTAAAAATTATTAAGTTAGGAACCTACAAAATGAAAAGGAAGTAAGTATTCTGGGCTAATCTTTTCTATTGTGTATAATTTTTACTTTTTAGCATGTTCATTTTGATAAGTGTGTTTGAGGATAGAGATTATCTTAGGTGCAAATTTTTTTCTAATGGAAATTAAATGGTGACTTTAAATTTACTAAAGAGAGAGGACACTGATATTGTCAAAAGATAGGAAGAAAGGAGGAAAAATCAGAACAGGGGCCTAATATGAATGATGTAGCAAAAGCCCAGAAAAGTTCTTTTTTCCTCTTTTGAAAAATCCAAAACATTATGCTATTAAGAAAGGTAGTTGATGGTTACACTTGAAATGCTCACAGTCATCATACCCAAATGAAAAGGAGTATACAAATTAATTCAGCTGATTAAGAATGAAACAAGAGGGATTATTGCTTAGCCCCAGAGCTTTGAAGATACGTGATTTTCTGTCTTGCACATTTTCTAAAAGACTGAGGCAGAAATAGCAAAAGCTTATCAATAGCATTTCTTTAAATAAGAACAGGAATCAAGAGTGCAGACCACAGTTGGGTGACTGGGGTCTCTTGGGGCTGTGGAGAATGGAGTGTAATTTAGAACACGTGCTTGATATACACAGTGGAACCCTGCCCGGCCTGCTGTGCCCTTTCCCCCAGCGAGCACAGATGCAGCCGGGAGCCCAGTGCACCGCCAAGGCTCGTTGGTGGGGGCAGGTACCCGCTCTCAGCATGGCGGAACCTCTGCTCTGCAAAGGCTCGCAGAGATTCAGTAGGACTTCCCTGCCTGTAGAAAACATTCATGCATTGGTGGGAATGACCTAGTAGATCAGATAATTAACCAGTGAGCGACACTGAGCCATATTCTGGTCATCACTGGGTCATGATCGTTGGGTGAGCTGGAAAGAAGACTCCTGATACCCACTCCTTCTGTCAGAACAGCATTCTTCCGTGTCAGGCATCATTCAGCAAGTGCATGGTGCTCCTCTAGGAGCCAGGCCCTATTCGAGGTGCTCCTCTAGGAGCCAGGCCCTATTCGAGGTGCCGGGATACCACAATGAGAGAGACAGTCAAAATCAAACTCTGGCCTCAAGAAAGTGCCACAGAGGCGGAGAATAACCATAAAATATCATTTCTGGAGGTGATAAGTGGCAAGGGGGTGCAGGATGCTTGGGCTGTGTGGGTGGTGGTATTACTGTTGGCTAGTGACAGTTTCCTGCCTTGTGACTACTGTCTGGGAAAGCAATCCACCAGACGGGGGTGCTGTTTTCCGGCAGCCCACCCCTAACCCTGAACTGCCTTTACTTATAACAAGTGGCCCCAGCAAGTAAACTTCTGGTTACCTACAAAGTTTATCTCGGAGTTCCTTCCAGAAAATTATTTTTCTCAAATCACAGGAAGTGTACGAGTGTTTCAAGAAATTTTGTATGCCCATGGTGGGTGCTCAGTAACGCTCACGAAGCTTTTCAGAGTAAGATGACCACAGCTCTGTCTATGGCATGGAATTTGCAGCTTCAAATCTGTCTTAGAACTAGAGCAGAACTGGAATCCTTTTCCTGGAGAACCCTGCCCCTGCCCTTGTGATGATGAGGATGGCAGAGTCCTCAGGCACGTCCTGGCCTCTCCTTTTTCTAGAGAAGGCAAGATCCCAGCTCTGCTAGGAGTCAACGCATCTGTTCTGCCCTCCAGAGAGCATGGGCTAGCTAGTTTTTAAAGCTCCTTGCTGCCTGTGCTTATTATAGCTCTATAAGCAGAAGAAACAGGAATATAAATACTTGTGACTTAAACTGTTCCAATGTCTTCCCCAAAGTGTAAACCCTGTGGAGGACCTTGGTTCGCAAACAGATGTTCAAAATATCAGAATGGAGTTCAGTGGTACAAAGGAGGCAAGCCAGCAGGAGAGTGAGCACGTGTGAGGGTGCTGCTTTGGCTGTAAAGGGGTCAGGACTGGTTGTTCTGAGAGGAGGGAGTCTTGCTGAATAAGGGAGGAAAGGTCTTTTGGGTAGAAAGAAGAGCTTGTGCAAAGACTCTGGAAAAGAGCCAAGCACACCGAGGAACCCAAGAGAGGAGCCATGTGGCCAAAAGCAGGGAGCTGGTCTGAGTAGGCTGAGCTGGACTCGGGAAGGGCAGTAGAGACCATAGCCCAGTAAAGGGGTTTGGATTTTATTCCAAGTATATCATGATTTGAATATAATGCAATCTTATTTCAGAGCAGGCTTCTATCCCTAGTGTCAAAAAGAAATTCACAGTCCCAAATGGAGTCACTTATGCTAGGCCTTGTTACCCAACTGAGGCTCAATACCTAACCTAATTGCAATTTCAGCCTCCCCCAGAGAAACAGTCTTATCTGATTAGTCAGGAATTTTCTGGTAAGGACCAATGAGATAATCTGTCACATGGGCTTTATCCATCCCCCCAAAGGAAGATGAAGTCATCTGTATGATAAGACCCCCTGCTCTTCCCCGTCAGGGAAAGTGACCTTGCCTGGAACAGTCCTTTCTTTCCTTTTGTTGATATCATCTTGCCCCACCCTCCTTCCTATAAAAACCTGCTATTTTGTACAACTCCTAGGGTTATCTCTCTACTGCTGGACGGGATGCTGCCCTTCATGAATCGCTTAATAAAGCCAATTAGATCTTCAAATTTACTCCACTGAATTTTTGTCATTGTTGTTTTAACCCCAGCAAAGTGAGGAAGGAGACAGACAGAGTCTGGGGGTGCAGGGGGTGGGCATGTGCACATGCTGGGCCCTGGGTCTTCTATAAACCAGTCCTGGGGGATGAAGGGCCGAGTGAGTGGTTAGCGAAAGCACGGGTGCTCTGTCTTCCCCCAGCACAAAATAAGAGGGGACAACTCCAGGTCAGAGGCAGAATAAACAAGCCGGACTTCCACTGATTTTATCTCTTCAGAGAATGATATTCTGCATTCAGTTCCTTAACTAACTTTGCTGTACTCAACATCCTGCTGCTAATTAAAGAAATAAAAGTCTGGCTTTCCTTTACTATGTGTTTGCTCAAGATTCCTACCCTGGACACTGTTTAAGATAAAAGTCACCTAGGTTTGGAACACTCAGCTGTCAGTAATGAGTCTGGTCACACAGAGAGAGTACCATCAT